CCCCCCGCCCTCCTTGTGTCACTCCTTCCTCCCCATCTCTAGGAGTCCATCCTGAATCGGCCTGTGTATACTTTGCAATTTCGTTGTAAACGATGCCAACACCTCTTTACATGATTTACCCTCATTGATAAGGAAGTGTCACAAAATCTGTATGAAAAAGCATCACTTTCTCTAGTCCATTGTGTTGCTAGTTCAGTTGCAGTAAAATAACAGTTTAGGAGATAAGGGATCAGTCTAAGTATTATGTGCAAGAAGATATGTTCGGATGTCACTTTACGACCATACTGGCTCCCTAGGTCGGCTACGAAGTTAACTCCCGGAGGAGAGACAGGTCGTGTTTCGTCCTCCGTTATGGTGGAGTTAACCGTATACCGGTTAATTTTGAACCTTCGCTGACTCTCGTGACCGGCAGCATGGGCAACGCTTACCTCGAACACAAATATTTCCGAGGCCCCGTTGTCGAAGACAACAATGTCTGGACGCCGGTGGACTATCGGGACTTGTGTCGGAATGACGGTATCCCAAATCAGTTTAGCCTTGGTGTTTCATCCCTTAGCTGTAAACACTGGACGAATGCAGTATGCGGGTAGGAGGAGTGCAAATGATGCCTGGAATACCACAATTACTGAATAGTTAGCAGTCACTCAGTGATCTATGTAACGAACCCTGGTAAGCAGCAGCAAGTTACAACACATTTCCAACTTACTATTGAAAATCGATCAAGATAGCGCAGACCAGAAAGATCTGAGCCAGAACGAAAGACAGTGGCTGGACGGCAAGGTTTATTTTTTTGGCATTCACGCAGACAGAATCTGCACGAAGCGGATTATTGAATGGTACACACGCAAAGCAGTGAATGGGTAAAATGAATGATCGATTGGTGCTGGTGTAGAAAGAAGATGTACTGAACAAATTATTGCTTAGCCCGCAAGTAATAAATGAACAAGGTGGATTACCCAAAATGCTGCAAAGGGACATTGCTCATATAACAGATGGACAACCGAAACACAGAATGGTGCTTGGAAAAGGTATAGGCAAAGCGAGTTATCGGCTGGTACTTATGCGAAATCGAAAAGGAACACAGGGAGCTTTGCCAGTTCAAAGAGGAAATCTGCTTGAGCGTCTCTTCATGGAATTGTGTGAATGAGAAGGCCTGAAACGAAGAAGAATGAAGTTACTGGCTGTGTTTTTGCAAAACGGCAAGAGGCGTATAATAAGAACTGAAATGGGAAGTGCTAGATATTCGAGGTAAACCTGAAGTGAAGAATAATGAATTTACCGGCTGTTTTGTTATAGCTCGGTGGGAGGCATATAATTGGAACTGGAATCAAAAGTGCTACATATAAAGGGTAGAACGTCGTCATAACAGATATAAATATGCCCAAATAAAGCAAGTTCCTGTCTGTTTCATCCCTTAGCTGTAAACGCAGAAATACGCTCACACACGTTCTTTTTAACTTTTTGAATATTCATTTGTTTTTTATATTTTGAATTTGATTTATAAATTACATTAGTAAATTTTTTCCAAGTATATTTTAGACTTATATTGACTTATCGATGTGACTTTCTTTTTTTTTGCAGCACTTCTGGCGAGGGTTTTCATTTCGGACATGACGAAGGCTCGGTTGGAAGGCTTGTTGGATGCATTCCCGAAGCTGATCGCATCTGATAAGTGTAAGACAATTTCGTTAATTTCAAGAATTTCGTATTTTTAGGTTTTATAAAGCACTTTTCAAACGTTTTGGGTATTTCGGTAGGTTTTTTTTTAAAAAGTCAGACGAGGTGAACACATCCCTTTCTGTTATCCGTTCCCGTTTCACTTCCTGGGTATCTGGCGAATAGCTTAAGTGATCCTGCAGCAGTATCCGGTTCATCTGTCTGTGGGTTGTATGCTAAGTTTTTGCGTACACTTACTCTCATTTGCTCAAAAAGCTAGCGATGGCACCGTTTTCGTAGGATATTTAGCTTGATGATGGTTTTGTCTGTTTATCATGCGTTTGCTTACCCTTGAAATAGATGAGTAAGTTGTGGCTGGATTGTTTTTCGACTTTTGAAATTAGGAAGTCGTTTTTGGCTGAATTTTTGGGTTTAAACTTCGAAAAGGGTACCGAATCCAGTGTTTTGATTCGTAGTTCATTTATTTGA